TATAAGATATATATATATATATATATATATATATATATATATATATATATATATAAATTAACCCAGGGATTACCATTAATCAGGAATGCTATTTTTCTGGGCTTCTCTCAACATGGGATAGTAAGCTAAACACACCCACACAGTATTTGGCTTTTAGTCACATGTTCAATTGGTAGTTGTAAAGGATCAAGCCTAAGACCACAAGTTTAGTACAGCAGGATTCAATTCCTAGATATTTGACATCAGACCCGTCTCTTTGCCTCTTTGAACCTTTTCCCTCATCTGTCGTGAAAGTTGAGACTAGATCTTAGCAGACACTTAAGAATTAATAGCTGCCTTGAGTTGAATCTGTACTAGTTTTTGTTCCTCCAATATTCTTACCACTGTCAGAGAGAGCTAAGACATATGGAATAATCTGATACAGTGTATAATGTATATCTATAATTAAATGTAATATATGCATTCTATATATAGTCTCTATGTTACAGAAGTTCAAGGAAATGGAAGAACTGTGTTCTGAAGTGTTCAAGAAATGTCTCACACAGAAGATGAGACCCAAGTTGACACTTAAAGAAGGGACAGAAGTTGAGTAGGCGAAGATCATAAACATTATAGTAGGGCAGGAAGTAAGTGGTTCTTCAGGGTAGTGTATGTATATAGGAATGGACTGCCAGATTGAAGGATTTGATTCATGTTGGGGAGGAATGGGAAAGAACACCATGTAGACAAAGTAGGGATAAATAACTGAGAGTTTGTCACTCTAGTCTTAGAGATCTAGACTTTACCAAATGGGCAACAAGAAGTGTGGCATATGTAAAGATTAAAGCAGCAACACAGATTACAAAAAAGTGGGAGAGATTTGCAGACAAAGTAGTTTCTAAACTCACCACTCAGAAGCTACATGCCTTTGAGCTTTAGTTTTCCTGTCTGTAGAATGGGCACAATAATCCTTACTGCACAGAGTTGACAGAAGAATCAAATGCATTATCATGTTCTTGAAAGTGTTTCATAAACAGAGATGTGTTCTCTCTATATGAGTTATCTGTCATTAATATATGATTCTTCTGCTTGTCAAATAAGGTTACCAAAGGGTCTGATGTAAACCGACATATCACCTGACTAATATCTATTGATTCAGAAGATTGCTTAATACTTTAAAAATAATACTTTACCTTTGTGCAACACAATTTTCAGTGTTGATAAATTCATCATTGTATTTGACCCTCAACCACAAACACTATGAAGAATTTAGGACAGAATGATTATTCTAATTTTTAGAAGGGTAAACAGATTCAGAGAGGTAACCCAGGTGGAAGTGCAACTGACCAAAGGTTTTCTGGCTCGCTAATGTGGTTATCTGCCCCAAATATCCTACTTCCTCCTCCTTCCCTTTTAAGTTTAATTTCCCCTAATAGTCATTCTCACCTTCTCAAAAAGTAATAGACGATTTAGTTACATCTCTGTGCATATCCTGTGGCTACCTGTGGCTATGGACTCAGTACTGACCAATGAAATGTAGGCAGAAAAGTCTCTGTACTCTTGAAGATCCTTTCCTTAAAGACAACTGGCCTTTGCCCTCTTCCCTACCCTTTGCCTTACTGCTGTTTGGAGGGGGATGAGTTGAGGTGGCTGGATGATCTCAGGGCATGAAAACAAGGGCTTCCCCCTGAGCGAGTGATGGCAGGTGAGCTGGAAAGAGCGGGGTCTTCCCTGAGGACCTTGTGGAGCAATGGCACCAGTCTAGCTTCCAATTACGTAGGTCTGGCTTTTATGTGAGAAAAATAAGTCCTTGTTATTTTAGTCTGTGCAACGCTGAGCCAGCCCTAATCCTAACTGACAGAAACTGCTGACGAAAGCAGAGTTAACACGTAAGGTACAAACATGTTAGGTACTTATATATTGTAAATAAATGTAACCATTGGAAAATATCAAGTTCCATGATGATTCTTATGAAAAAGAGTAATGAAATCCAAAATTGTACATAACGTCTTTCTAAATAAAGATTTCCCAGGACAAATGCTAAGAACATTGGTTCATTTAGCTAAAACAGGGGTAAAAAAAAGCAACTATAAAGCTTTTCTTATCTGAGGAAAGTGAGAAAACTACGAAAGCTAGGCAGGGACCAAAACAAGAAACCTGTGTGAAAGTTTTATAGAAACCATAAGGTGATAATGGCTTTTAGATGGTATGCTTTGGGAGATGTAGCAAGTCCATTAAAAACAAAATCAGTAAACAATTTGGAATGAGAGTTTTTAGTGGTAAAAGCTAAAAGCTATTCTCTTTGGGAGGGTCTGCATCTGCCTCCTAAAATCTTGAAAAATGGCAAATGACTTACCCTTATCTATTATTTATCTTCCACATAGCACACTGGCTCTAGTCCTTTGTTACTCATTGACAATTCCTCCTGAATCTCCAGTCTTCCTCTCCATCCTCAAAGCCACTGGCCTAACTCATAGGAACTGGGCCACACCATTCTTCCAAGTCCCTTGCATCTACTCATGCCACTTCCCTGCTAACAGTTCCCTGCTTGATACCTCTAGTGAATACTCATTGTCTACAAGATAGATCCAAAGCCTTTACTCTGACCCTCAATGCCCTTTAGCACTTAGCTGTAAACCACACTTCCAGTTTATCACCTGTCACTCATTCCATTCACCATAAGCAGCTTCATAGAGCTTTTTGCTATGTTCTAAGTTTCCCCCTTGACTTAACTAGACTGGATTTATTATTCTTTTGGAAAGCCTATCTTCCCTATTTAACTGAACCATAAATCTTATCCAGATCCTTCAGAGACAGTTGTTTCTTTTTCCATAATTATTTATTTCATGGGCATATCTCTGTTATGGTATTCGGAACATGGTATTATAATTATTTGTTTACGCACCTGTCGCCATCCTTAAGGACTCTTGAGGGTAAGTCTCTGCAATATCTACCCCAGTTCTATGTACATATCTTATATTCAATAAATGTTATTGATTATAAGGGTCATGAAAAGACGCATTATTTCTAGGAACACTGTCTCTAGGAAAAAGTTGCTTTTTAAGATACAAAGAAAATTAAAAACTTAAACATCTCAGCCCAATATTCAAGGTTATGTACATATATTCACAGCATGCATTTCTGCTCCACTGCACTACTCACTCTAATATATTTATTTACTGCCTCTAGTAACATGATCTTCTTCTTCCTACCTTTTAACTTCATGTTTTTGCTTTACTTCACTGCCTCTGCTTGCAATGTCACTCTCCCCATATCTTCATGCCGAAACCCCTCCCATGCCTGAATGATACACCAAATACCAGTGCCTTCTCTCACTTCTCAGCTCCCCTAGTCCTAGATTTATACTGTATTTATCACAATTTTAAATTGTCCTTAAAAAATATTTTTTCTTTCCCAATCACAACTAGTTTATAAGCTCTCCAAGATAAGGATCACACCTAAACCATACTTGTATAACTTGGAGAAAAGAAAAAAGCTGGGGAGGAAGAAAGAAAGAGAGAGACAGAGACAGAAACAGAGAGAGATTAAGAGAGAGAATAAGCAGGATAGTAGTACATATTCTGCTTATATTGAGGATTCAGGATCCCAGTAAACATTTGGTGAATAAAGACTACAATTATAAGCCAAATAAGAATCCAAGCATCTAATCTGACATTCAAGCATTTTCTCAATCTTGTTCTTTCCAAAACGAGTATTTCATCCTAAATCTTATGTAAATCTGACTCATATTTAAAAATGAAATAACAGAATTGGTGCTGTTGAGGTCCATAACAAACTCAATCAC